TTTTCTGGAATCGCCCGATTCCGGCCGACGCAGTCTTTGATATCCGGCGCAAATTAATATCCAGACGAGACGTGACTTTCAGATGGCCAACGAACCGCAGGTGTATGTACCATATGTACCAACAGTCTTAACTCTCTCGCGTATGTCTGTAGTGCTTTGCTTTGTATTTCGCTTCGTACCATGTACTCGACTGAAATTAGCAGTAACCCCCAGTGTGGAATGAATCCTTATAAGCTGAACTGTTCTCACGTAGCCTCCTTGCTCACCACCGGGATAGGCAACTTGCCTCAAACTCTGCCATTTTGCTTTTGTAATGTTATACCTGTATAGAATATACCTGATAAAATGTGCTTTTTAAGAAAATGTAGATCTTACAAAATCCATATTCTTAACAAACTGCTCGCATTGGGCTGACCGGCCCAGTGATTACCGAGATCTTACCGGTCGAGCCGAATCCGCCCGTGTTTTAGAAGGTTTTGACAACAAATTTTGCTTGTCATTTTGTTATCTCAATTTTAAATCACTATCAAGAGGTATGGCGACAAATTCTTCAAACCAAAAAGCTGAGCAATGCCATTCTAGGTCGATAAATTTATTTTTCCCTCATGACGTCACCACAATAAGTTAACAAATTTTTGTGATAAAGGAATTCAAAATAAATGTCAAGACTACTCTAAATGAACTGTTTTCCAATGCGACACCTTTTGGGCTTTGTCCTAAGCTTACCGCCATAACTGAACCAAAACGCTATTCCTTGTAAAAACATTTTCTTGTTCCGCGTCGACAAACTAGTGTGTGCATATATTTTTGTGATGCACGCAGTCGGATGGTAATCTTGATCGCTTATCTGAGGCGCTACTATAACAGACTGGATCCCAGTAACTTAATACGCGAGGCTACTCCCTCATTTGTAACATGGAATGCTGATGCAAGCTCTGTGAAATACCAGCGTCCTTTAACGACTGAGAGTTGCGGAACGACTTGGCTCAATCACTTAACATCTCTGTGAGTTTATTCACGGATGACTGCAGGGCAGATGAACGGTCATAAATCTGGCGCCACCCTGATTAAGCCGACCCGATGCATACAGCTGTGCGACGCCAATGGAGCCAAAACTTGGCAGTTTACGTCAAGGAAAGAGAATGCTTAACTGCGTGCAAGTATCTTAAATGCAGTCGGCCGGCTGACCTGTGAGCGGTGCCTCGTCGCTGCCGCGAGCCGGGTGGCTGACCTGTGAGCGGTGACCCGTCGCCGCCGTGAGCCGGGCGGCTGACCTGTGGGCGGTGACTCGTCGCCGCCGTGAGCCGGGCGGCTGACCTGTGAGCGGTGACTCGTCGCCGCCGTGAGCCAGACGGCTGACCTGTGAGCGGTGACTCGTCGCCGCCGTGAGCCGGACGGCTGACCTGTGACAAGTGACTCGCGCCGCCGTGAGCCGGGACTGGCTGACCTGTGAGCGGGACCTCGTCGCCGCCGTGAGCCGGGCGGCTGACCTGTGAGCGGTGACTCGTCGCCGCCGTGAGCCGGACGGCTGACCTGTGAGCGGTGACTCGTCGCCGCCGTGAGCCAGACGGCTGACCTGTGAGCGGTGACCCGTCGCCGCCGTGAGCCGGGCGGCTGACCTGTGAGCGGTGACTCGTCGCCGCCGTGAGCCGGACGGCTGACCTGTGAGCGGTGACCCGTCGCCGCCGTGAGCCGGGCGGCTGACCTGTGAGCGGTGACCCGTCGCCGCCGTGAGCCGGACGGCTGACCTGTGAGCGGTGACTCGTCGCCGCCGTGAGCCGGACGGCTGACCTGTGAGCGGTGACTCGTCGCCGCCGTGAGCCGGACGGCTGACCTGTGAGCGGTGACTCGTCGCCGCCGTGAGCCGGACGGCTGACCTGGCGCCGCCCCAGTGGCTGTGGTCGTGACGTCACAGTGGTCTCATCAGGCCGCCGAGCTCGGCCACAGCCGTGCAACGGCCGACGGCCGGCCGTTTGTCCCGCGAGAGCTGACCAAGTGGCGCTGTCACTGGCGCCCAAACCGAAATAGCCCCCGATTGGGCCCGTGCCGGCGATACTGGGACTGGAGGGGACCAGGCGTGACCGCAGCTGCCAACGAGGGCTCTACTGCAGCGATTTATGCAGGGCTTTTGGACGGGAACAGCCAGGTGGTAGCTTGTTCCGCAAACCCTCGACTGATGAGCATTTTGATCATACCTTCACCGTCTGAGGGTCAAGGGGCAGCCGGCACAGACTAGCCCGGCTATTTAGAGAACTTAACAACATCGGCAAAGCGACGGTCATGTCGCACAGAAACCCGGAAGGTGTGTTTGAGCCTTTTCCATGAAACTGAGCTACAGGCTGTAGCAAGTAGGTACAACAAAACAAAGCAAGCCCAAGAGTGACACACAGCTTGCTTAGGATGGTTTTATGTGCTCACAAGGATGTCGCAAAAATTGAATCATTGGCAAAGTGCAGCCAGCTGTGGTAGCCATTTCATCTGTTTTACTTGCTCTTTGATCGTGAAACCATCTTTCATAACGAAACTAACATAAAGCAAAATGATTGGCAATAGCCTAGTTAGAAGACCTGTTTTGTAACACAATGACACAAAATCGACAAACTTTCTCTACTGATATTTCATGCAACAGTCAATTAAATGAACGCTGCAATAACTTCATAACTGGACCGAATAGGTGCAACTGAACACCATGACAGGTGCCTGTGGTATAGCTCAGCGTGATTAGGGTCGACTTGATCCGTTTAGGCATCTTTGTGCTAGGAACCATCTGCGGGCCGTACCACTGGGCACAACTGGTACATCTGGGGGCTATACCACTGTGCACAACCGGTACATCTGCAGGCCATACCACTGGGCACAACTGGTACTGGTAAAACGCACACCGCAGTACGCCAACTGGTACTAGTAACACGCACACCGCAGCACGCACAGATAAGATGGTCCGTCGCCAGATGTGGTCTGTCAGATGAGGCCATACGGAGCGACCGTAGCGGGCACAGATAAGATGGCCGTCACCAGATGTGGTTTGTCAGATGAGGCCAGACGGAGCGACCGTAGCGGGCACAGATAAGATGGCCGTCGTCAGATGTGGTCTGTCGGATGAGGCCATACGGAGCGACCGTAGCGGGCACAGATGAGATGGCCGTCGCCAGATGTGGTCTGTCAGATGAGGCCATACGGAGCGACCGTAGCGGGCACAGATAAGATGGCCGTCGCTAGATGTGGTCTGTCAGATGAGGCCATACGGAGCGACCGTAGCGGGCACAGATAAGATGGCCGTCGCTAGATGTGGTCTGTCAGATGAGGCCATACGGAGCGACCGTAGCGGGCACAGGCCCCACCTCCCTTGTGCCCCATGCAGACCATATCCGCTTAACCGAGACGAAGGGCGTTAGTTATTTATCTCTTCTCGTCCCTCCTTGCACCATAGCTGTTAGTCAGAGTTGCATTGAAACTGCAGCAGGTAGGGAAAATTGGAGCTGTTATATTAGGTTCCAGGGTCAAAAACCTTTACTGCAAGTTTCTTCATGTGGCACGTATGATTTTGTTGATGCGTATGGATGGCCTCACCTTGGTTTTGTGTAGATTAGCTTTGCCTTTTAGTCGAACAACACTGAGCATTTGAATGTGTGGCAGAGATTTTCAATATGCCTTTGGAAACAAACGAATGGTGTTTGGTGCCTGAATGCAGAACATAACTGAGTCAGAGCTCCTGACCTACGAAACATTCCCCGATCGGCGTCACAAAATTGCCTTACCACTGTGGCTAAATCGAATTCGGCTTACCTTGAGTGCGCTACCTCATCGGAGCTTGAGCGCTGACAAAATCGTATCGTCTTCACCAAATGGACGCCCTGAGCACGCACGCGTTCTGACGATCCCTGCTGGGCAAGTGGCGACGTACATCAGCTGGCATGGTCATCTATCACGATCACTATACATCGGCACTGGAACTTGTCATTGGATGTGACAGAGATGGTCAACTTTCGTTGGTGCCGAAAAGACATTTCATCGATAATTTACCGTCAGGCACCTTCAACTGTTGTCGATCAGATTTATGAGCAGTCTGTTTGGTTTGCTATAGTGGACTGACTCTAAATGGGCGCCAACTTGACGTTTATGGAACAAAAATTTTCAGATCGGATCAATATCGATGCCTAAAGAGTTTTACTCACTATGTTTGTCGCCGTCGTCGTTGGGGCTGTAGGACGACGCACTCAGTTGATGGGGCTATATGGCGTCGCCCGCCTCTCACCCTGGCAGGAAGAACGGGCACCGCGGGAAATCAAATCTTGTTCATCTGGCATATCAGGCGCGCACTGGTTAACGCAGACGCAATAACCACAACACTATCGGCCCCCCACTTATCTCATTCCTTTTGTCCTTCACCGTATCCCACAGTGCCTGGCCTTTTCCCCTGCATGCCACTTCTGTTCCTAGAATCGGTAAATGCGTAACGCTGTCCTGTCATTTCAAGCGTGGCGAGCCACAGAGTCCCCAATGTGCAATGCCCCTCCAATGTACACACGACCAGAAACGGAGCTGCTTGCCACCTCGCCGCGTATGCACACGGCATGCCTTACTAGGGACTGGTCTGAAAACACCCAGACAGGTCAACAGTGCTTCACGCGGAACGCAAACGATGCCGATCTCGCCAGGCAGAGGTCAGGGATGATCGGACAAGCCCCCCCCCCCCCCCACACACTACGGCTGGGACCGGGCGATTCATTCCACACTCCCGAGATGCTCGTCGTTAAAACCCCTGCCTCTGTGGTTGGACACCTGAGGTCGCCCATTAGACAGCCGGCGTCGTTAGCATCTGTGCGCGGTGACCAGGGGCGGGGTCGGGGGACAGCGGGCGCGCGTGCGCTCGGTCGGCGCGCGGCCGCGCCGGCGGCGGCCGGCTCTCGGTCCGGGACGAGCCCCGCTCCGCCGTCCCGCTCAGTGCGGACCAGCGGCGGCCGCTCACCGGTCGGGCGCGCGCCACCCGGCCGCCGGCCATGGCCGAGTGCGTGACCATGCTGCCCGACCTGGCCGCCCAGTACAACGCCAGCGTGTGCAGCGCCGCCGAGGCCGGCGAACAGCCGCGCTTCCCCACCTATGTGCGCGTGCTGGTGACGCTGGCCTGCTCGCTGATCCTGACCGTGGGCGTGGTCGGCAACGTGCTCGTGCCGCTGGTCATCTGGCGGAACCGCGAGCTGCGCAACTCCACCAACTTCTTCCTGCTAAACCTGAGCCTGGCCGACCTGTTCGTGCTGCTGCTCTGCATGCCCAAGGTGCTGGTGGAGGTGCACACGCGGCCCGAAGTCTGGATCCTCGGCAGGACCATCTGTGAGTACCACCGGCACGCCGCGCTCGCGACGGCTCTGCGCCGGGCTCTTTGACGGCGCCCGTTTGTTTTGACTGGTGTAGGTGAGGCCGGCAGCGCCCGTGACGCCTGCCTCGAGAGCACGAGGGCGTCTGACGTGCGGCGGTGGATCGTTTGGGGGGGGGGAGGGGTAGCCCACGAGTCAGACTAATCTTACGCGCCAGTGACGCCAAGTTTAGGATGCGGGAAGTCAGCTCTGGTAAACACATTTTGCCGCCATAGTTCCCCACCGAAAGACAAATGGACGGACAGCCAGTGACGGAACTATTGCACACCTGACCTGTTACTGCACTGTCCACGATATCTGTTTCCGCCGTCTGCTATATCTGTGCAGCTGACGGCTGATCATTCGCCCATCCATACCGCAATTGATGCGGTGACGGGCTCTCGAGCCGGAGATAGACCTCGCTACAGAGACTGCCGCCGGTCACCGGCCGGGGCCCATCACATTACGAGCTCAAATGACGCCGTTCGGGCCCGGGCCTCATCCCAGTCAGCCCAGCTGACCTGCCGGCCAGCCTCCTGGGGCCGTCGGTGACCTTCCCTCCCTCACCCAGCGGCTCTGACGCGCACTGCCACCCGTTCTGCGCGGCGCTCTGTTCCCGCCGAATTCCGACGTTCGTCAAGCGCGCGTGTTACGGCCGGCCGGCGCGTGGCTCGCCGCATCCTCCGCGTTCCCGGCCGCGCCGCCGCAGCTGGGGCCCGCGGCATGCGCCGCGCGCCGCGTGCCTTATCCACAGGAAACGACGTGGCGCCGCCGACAGCCGGCTTAATGGCTTCCTACTGGCTTAAAAGTAATGGCTTCGGCCCTAACAGGAGTTCAGTTGGAGCACCTCCTAAGAGGATCCCGAATGCGGTAGATTGAGTCGGAGCATGTGGCATGATGACGGTGCGATGACTCGGTCCCAACTCTGAAGTTAAGTACCGTGTCAAGATCACGGGTGAGTATTGCTGCCTGGCAGACGTGACAGCGGTCGCGCCAACTGTCATCCCAAACACCACGGTCTTCATGTTCTGCTACCTCGCTGTAAGATAGGCCAGCAGCTTTCCCGCACCAGTTTTTCTCAGTGTGACACGCTCAGGCCATGGGTGGGAGCGTATATGTGGCACTAAGCTGCAGAGGTTGACTTGCAGATATGACGCGTGATCTCGAATGTGCTGTACGCCATTGCGAGCGTTCCGGATAACTTTACCGGGGAATGAATTAGTTAAGCACCCGCACGCTTCAAGCCAGTGTGAAGATTGCTATAACTGTGTGGTTCCAGCTGAACTTAACTGTAACTTTATTGCTGTAAATGTGCCGCTTGTGCGGCTGCATTCCAGAACGTCAAAAGGCTGCGTTCAGAAACCTAGGCTTATTTCCAAAACGTCAAGTTGCAACCCGCTAAAATTTGAGCTCTACATCATCCAGACCCCATCCAATTTTTTATTATTTTTGGGGGTATGGCACGATGACTCACGAGCCGATCAAGACTCAGGAGTTGTCCGCAGTTGTTTGACCATGTTCGGCGGATACCAGATGGAGCTAAGTCGTTACACGGCCTGCTGAATCAAGGCAGGCCTTTGTATAAACCGCCAGGAAATGAGAATGTCCATATCTTTTTTATGAAAATTCCGGCTGAAACTTATTTTTTGCACTAGTATGTGCAAAAGTGATGTGAATGGAGCTCCTTATAACTAAATACATACGTGCTGGTTTCACCAGTATTTTGATGGGATTACGAACTTTCCAATTATATTTTTACGGACTATACTGCACGCTATACGCATCAACGAGAATTACAGTGCAGCACGACGTGACGTCACGACTCACATCGGTGACACACCGCAGGGTGGAAATTAGAATGACGACTGTGCGCCGCCATTCACACTGTGCTGGGCATCTTTCAATGAAAACAAGTTATCAAAGAAGGCTTTTTGAAAGGTCATGGATGTAAGGGAAGTTTACGGAGGAAGCATGGGCAGGAAGTTATGATAATTGTTCGTTATGTATGAAAAATATCACGCGCATCATTACATTAATGCGTTCAATTTGATTGGATCTGAGTAACGATTGCACAGGTAAAATTCGTTTTCTCGACTAGCTTTCCTGATGGCCCTTACAATTGTGTAGCCTATTTATCGTGACCTAGGTAGCATGGAAAACTGAAAATGACGTGGATGCAATATAGGTTACAAATATAACCAGGTGCCAAATTTGATCGAGTTTGGAGAGGTCCTGGTGAACACGCCTCGGTAAATTGGTCGCAAATAGCCATAGGTAAACGCTTGTCTCACGATTTGCCGGTTGCCTACTCCGCTGTACTCCTATTAAAGCCTGTTGCTCTCAATGCAGCTCGCTCCGTAGAACGGCATGGCCTCCATCGTCTGAAGAATAGGCACCTAGGTAGAGCTTAAGAGATTAGTGTTTATAATCCATCTACGTTTACGATGTATGCGACATATACCCAATTTTCTACTCCATTTATTGATCTAGGCGTCTGGCGCATTAGCGGCGCCCTGTGATGTGCCACGGCAGTTTGTAACATTTCAAACAGAGCTCATTATTATTCTTTGTGATTGTGCGTGGCGGCCCGCTATCGTGTGTGGCGAGATGGCATGATACGGGACCTGATCGCGACTCCAGCGCTCCAGCCGGCGGGGAGCGTCGGGCCACCGTGGCACGTGCGCGGAACTCGTCGGCGGGAGCGTCGGGCGCCGCGGCACGTGCACAGCGCTTGGCGGGGAGCGTCGGGCCGCCGTGGCACGTGTGCGGGACTCGCCGGCAGGGAGCGTCGGGCGCCGCGTCATGTCCGTGGGGCTGGCCGGCGGTGAGCGTCGGGCGCCGCGGCCCGTGCGTGGGGCTGGCCGGCGGTAGCCGTCGGAGGCCGCTTCCTGTCCGGCGGTGAGCGTCGGGCGCCGCGGCCCGTGCGAGGAACTCGTCGGCGGGGAGCGTCGGGCCACCGCGGCACGTACGCGGGGGTCGCCGGCGGGGAGCGTCGGGCGCCGCGGCACGTGCGTGGGACTCGCCGGCAGGGAGTGTCGGGTGCCGCGGCACGTGCGTGGGGCTGGCCGGCGGTAACCGTCGGACGCCGCGTCATGTCCGTGGGGCCGGCCGGCGGTGAGCGTCGGACGCCGCTTCATGTCCGTGGGGCTGGCCGGTGGTGAGCGTCGGGCGCCGCTTCATGTCCGTGGGGCTGGCCGGCGGTAACCGTCGGACGCCGCGTCATGTCCGTGAGGCCGGCCGGCGGTGAGCGTCGGACGCCGCTTCATGTCCGTGGGGCTGGCCGGCGGTGAGCGTCGGACGCCGCTTCATGTCCGTGGGGCTGGCCGGTGGTGAGCGTCGGACGCCGCTTCATGTCCGTGAGGCCGGCCGGCGGTGAGCGTCGGACGCCGCTTCATGTCCGTGGGGCTGGCCGGTGGTGAGCGTCGGACGCCGCTTCATGTCCGTGGGGCTGGCCGGTGGTGAGCGTCGGACGCCGCTTCATGTCCGTGGGGCTGGCCGGTGGTGAGCGTCGGACGCCGCTTCATGTCCGTGGGGCTGGCTGGTGGTGAGCGTCGGACGCCGCTTCATGTCAGTGCGGCCGGCCGGCGGTACGGATTGCCACCATCCGTTTCCCAGCCGAACCCCCATGCATCACTGTTACCTCTCAGGCCACCAACGACGCCGGCCGACCTTTGCACCAGCGATGACCGGCACGGAACGTGAATTATTGACACGTGGAACGGCCGACGATCAGCTCTATCTGTCCGTGCATAACGATGACCTGGTGATGACTGGCCGCGCCTCGATACATGATGCATGCGGGCGGCCTGGCCACGGCCAGCAGTGACGACAGAGCGCGCGGCGCCCCAGGCGACAGCGCGGACTGATTGGTCCCTGATGGGATTGTGCCTTAGTGGTGTGCACTCCGTCGAACCATCTGTAGTACAAGAACATGTTGAACGTATTGCACTTCGCGCAATATGTTCATTGTAGGTGATCTACGTCGATTGCAGTCAATCGGGTATATAGAATGAGTAATGCTTCTTTGTACGGACGGTGCACGTTGGTGATACCAAATCGGTGGACGTGCTAGCAACAGTCCTTCCTTAGCTGATGTACTTCAACACCGAAGATGCATTGCTAATATCGAGATCAGAAATCCCGCTTAAACGTTGACTGTCAAGATCGGGTTATACATGGGACATATGATGCGCCAAATATTGACCGATTCCATGCCAGCTTCCACAGCTTCTAAATGCATTCCCTTCAGCAGGTCGCAACGCTCATCAGGCTTCCTTTCACGAAGCAAAAATTTGTGACGAGCCTGGAATATCGGAGAAAAAACTGGAAAGATCTTGTAGCACATATATCAGGCAAGATGAATGCTGTATGACCGGTGTTTATATTCATTTTGTTACGATACAGCTGGCTATGCGTGATGAAATGCGCTGTGTCCTTGTCATCGCAACACAGAAATATTTTAGGTCACTTTGTGCTCATGCTATAATCCGTTAATGCAGAAATGGGGCTCATCATTCACCTGGGATCATACTCGGTACCTGCTCATTCACCTCCTTGTGAATGGAGTCAGATTTGTTTGAAAACGCAAAATGGACCCGAGGAAAAGCTATTCTTGAGCCGAACATGAGTCACTTATTTTGGAATTGAAATCATCCTACGAATTAGGCTGATTTCCGCAGTGATTGGTGGCCAAATTGGAATGGCGAATGGCAAAACAAAAAAAAAAATTGGTGGCCGAAAGCGGCCAAATATTTTAATTTGTTTTCTAAGGATGACAAATTGAAAGGAACGCAAGAATCATGGAACATGCTTGGTTATGAACCGCTACAAACCAAAAAGTATTCAAGCTCACCTTCATTTTTACTTTTTATGTTGTCGGTATCTAGCTATGTTTTGTTATTTTCGAGCTAGGCACGCCAGGAGCCTGAAATCTCATGTACATAGCATCACATGCTCAAGACACGTTGCGTCGAAAAG